CATGCGAATTCGTACCGAATTGATGCGAACTGTATCTAATTCGTACGGATACTATTAAAAACTTTTACGAATTCTTCTTGCGAATTTGAAAACAGAGAATAGATCAAACACGATGCTGATCAATTCGCAAATACTTCGTAAAGTTAGTTTACGAATTCGTGTTCACTGTTTTTCGAACCACATTGATTCCTAACAACGAATTAGCGAATTCCTATTACGAACTGATCCTCCGGTTGAAAATGGATCCACGAATTGACAAACCCATTCAAAGTCAAAGGTCGACAGCATTTGGTCACCAAAGTCGAAGGACTGGCATCAGTCAGGGTGAACAAGTTGGCCAACGCGGAACAATTTATCGAATATGCATGCACAGAAAATCGAATGCGTCAAGCGCTTGATTATATGCGTGAACAAATGGTATCAATAGAAATGAAAAATATCAACATATTTCTCAGATGGCTGGCCGAAGATCTCTTCAAGGAAGAAAGAGACACTATGGATGTATCGACCATTAACGCGAAGGAGGTCACTCGCGCAATGGCAAACAGAGCACAGCCATGGTTTATTGATTCAATATCTCAGCATCGAAGAGACAATAACAGACAGAAAAGAGGAGGAAAGAAGTAAACTATTGGAAAGCAAAGCTATTTTGTTTTGATGTTATCGATTGTTGGATATTCATTTTCGCACTCGTTATTATGAAGGTTCTCTCACATGTGCTCGCAAATGATTTTATTTCTGGGGGAGAATCTTTCTGAAAATCGATTTTTGAAAAAACTTCGCCAAAAACTTCGCTAAAACTGATTACGCAATAACAGCTGCAGTTTTACATGATGTCTAAGGACAGCGAATCATGTAACACCTCCCCCCTGCAAAAAAGTAATTCAATTTCCCTACAGTACGGATCATATCACTTCTGCTTCTCCGGTACTAAGATCGTACGAGACATAGAAGTGATATGATCCGTACTGTAGGATCATCATTGTTGAATAAGCAATAAGTTTTTTTATATACGGATTTTCATACGATGTTTCATTTTTATTTGGTAACGCTGCATGAACAATCGGCTTCATACTGTATTCATCCCATGTATGTATACTATATGATTGATTGTTTTACAACATTTACTTGGACTCAGCATCAGCCCTTGCTTAAAACATCTGATCTCGAATACACGATCATACGTGAGAGCATCTATACCGGATTTTTACATATTCGGAATCAGAGCGACAAGTTACGCTGTGCGGCGCAAAGATCTCGTTGGGATCCTCTTGATTTTTTGGACCCGGAGGCTCGGGTTGGAGGGATAAATGAATATGTAGATTAAAATAGAAAATTTCTTCTTTTCTATAGGGAAAAATAAAGTGCTATGCACATATATACGAATACATAAGAAAAAAATATGGGGTCTAGAAAAAAACCAGCAAATTTTGAGGTGGCACCTCATCTAGTGAGGGTGAATTGAATGAGGAATCTTCACACCGCATGGCACGTACTGAACTGAACTGAACTGAATTTTTATTTTTGCAAGCATGGTTGTTGCAAAGAAAGGCTAGCTTATGCTAATGCAACACCGAAAAAAGTGAAGAAATAAAGAANTTTATTTTGAAGTGAAAAAAAGCACACGACAAGGAACAGATAAATTATAAAAGTTGAAGATGCTGCTTCAAAAGACCCTTATAGATTCTGTGACTGGTTTGATTCACAACAGTGCATGGTAGCACATTCCAGTCGTCAGAGGTATGGGGAAAAAATGACCCCGAAGCAGACTTTAGGTGAGGGTGTACTGTACAAGCTATCAAATCCTTTTCGAAGTGAAAAACATGCCGAAATATGTTTTAACTGGTTCAACCGGAGAACTTGGTTCAAGTGTTTTACAACATTTACTTGGACTCAGCATCAGCCCTTGCTTAAAACATCTGATCTCGAATACACGATCATACGTGAGAGCACCTATACCGGATCTTTTCAAGTTTATCTTGGATATTCTGATCGACACCAAGTGAAATTGTTGTACCAGGCGATGGTGGCGTTACTTTTGCTTCAAGTGAACATTTGGGCGAAGAGACAGCAAAATTACTAGCATCAAATAACGATTATGAAAACCAAACAATTTGGCTTACTGGTCCGAAAGCTTAGACACTGAACGAAGCAGCTTCATTGGTATCAAAAATCCTCGGTCGTGCGATTCTCGTACATATTGTGTCATCACAAGAATATGTTGATCGAGATGAACTATGGCTTCGTCTATAGGCTACAACTTATGACGCGCGGTGAACTAGCACGAGTTGATAGTACCTTGGAAAAGTTACTGGGATGTCTATCAACAAGTTTTGAACAGACAGTGGAAAAAATGTTAACAAACAAAGAAGCAGGTGCAAAAGCAACACCATTCTACAAAACAGAAGTAATGAAAACATGAAGATTGGACAAGAACAGTGCCACATTGAGATTTTTAACTAGAACACATTGCTATAATTACGATTTTAGGTTATTATGAAATACATCACTGGGTAAAAGTCTTTCGCCATCTCCTCTGTTTGCTGTGGGGTAATAGTAAAACATGAAGACACCCACAGCCCTTGCTCTTTATAAACATATACGATTTCATCTTTTCTTAACACAGTGTGAAACTCTATCTGATCGGTTCTTTTTCCAGATTATGTGTATTTTTGTTCTGTTTCAAAGGAATTATTTTAAGAAAATGAAGCATTTCACAAGGTAAGTGTACAGTAGTTTCCGAGAAAGGGAGAGAGCGAATTAATAATACTGAAAAGAATTGTTTCTACAACCAATGGAATCATCTTGGCATTAGCCCCATTATCGATGGTTCAGTCTTGACTCCAATCTATATGTTGATGCCATTGTGGGCAACTGTTTTCTGCTGCCATTATGCTGGTATTCGAAAAAACAGCAAAACAAGTTACTTCATGCTTCTCAAGCATGCA